CTATAGAAGCAAACAACTGATGTGTATTTGTCAAAGATGTGTTGTGTAGCCTGCCATTTAAATAATCTTTCCTTTCTTAGAAGGCCTCAGAGGGTGTCATGCAGCAGTGACAAGGGACCTTTGATGGGAACAATTCATATTCTGTCTTCAGCCCTTTCCACCAGGCTGCCCCCTCATATCATCCTGCTCCAGCGTTTTCTCTTCTGCTCTAGTAAAATACATCACTTGTGAACAATGAGCTACCAGGCAGAGCCTAAAGTCTTATGCGGTAACCGAGTGACCGGAAAGCGCCATTAAACAACAAGCAGACATTTTACACTTCACTTACTCCAGTACAGAACTCATGAACCTAGGAGAATGGTTCATTGTAACCCCAAGAGGTCCGAGGGGGTCTCCATCGTCCTACCGTAGGTCCATAGTCAGTAGGAAGGAGGCTAGCCCTCAGGCTCCTCCAACAGCCCCAGTGACGGTTCATTCCGTCACAGATGGTATATTGAAACACCTATTAATGAGAAGACATCTAATTAAGGAACACATCATGAATGTGATTCCATTGAAGCAAATCAGTAAAAAGAAAAAAAAGTCAAAGCCTAGGCCTGAGCATTGGGCACCCCTGTTTTTCTTAGAATGAACAGTAAAAGCAGTGTCCATGGACTCGAGGGCCTTAAAGGAGAAATATTGGGAGAGTGAAATGTATTCCTGCCAATACTTTGAGCCAGCATGTGATACTGCAGCTGCCACACGCAGATCTATAGATCAAGAATTGAGTGATCACAAACCACTGATCACTCAGCTCACGGTCTTCTCCATTACGAGAGTATGGTCTTCTCTATGAAGAGAGCACCGCTCCTTGCAGGGATTCCCCCATCTCTCTGTTCCTTCAGCACTCATTGGAGGGATATACAGAGGAGGGGGAAGGAACAGCTAGCTATGGCTCTAGAGAGGCAGAGCCAGCTGCCAATCAGGCTGCGGGGTGCCGACAATATTGTCGAGATCTTTCCCAGCTGCAGCAGCCCACAATATGCTGAATTTGAGCCACAGAAGGACATTAGTAAATGTCCTACGGTGACCTAAAAGCAAACTAAAGCCCCCAAAAAAGGTTTGGCTTTAGTTCTCTTTTAAAGCCACACTCCAAGAAAAAATTATAATTTACACACTGCACTGGGTATGTAATTGATCATGATATAGTTGTGATATGTGTGGAGGGCTGCTGCTGTCTCCTGCACATAGCATCGGGCTTGCAGGCAGTGTGGGATATGACTCGAGCCGTGAAGTGCCTTGGAGAAGGAGAGGAGGGGGCAGCAATGTGGCATCTCTCCTCCTCCAATCACAGAATTAGTTGAATTCTTTGAAAAAATGCAAGGTGTTTTGTGAATGGGCATGTACAATAGGCGTTTCCTTCATTACCTTGTGCAAAAGATGGCCTTTTGTTTTTCAAGTACGTTCTTGCATTCTTTATTTATTGCAGATGGGAAAAGGGAGATAAGGGTCATAAGGGTTAGGGATACCGGAGTTAAGCTTTAAAGCTAAACGCCAGCCTTACCTTCAGGAGCATCTAAACTCAAAAGCAAAAATTGAATCTTTTGGAGCTTACCAATTCTTAAATGAGCTGGCTGCATAAGTTATCTTTGTTTAGCCTTTCTCCTTATCTTAACTTGGTAATCTGCCCAGTAAATCTGTTACTTTTTCATTTGAGCTAAAACGCCAGGAAAACAGCTAAATACTAGGGCTGCAACAACTAATCGACATAATCGATTATAATCGATTATTGAAAAAGTTGTCAACTTTTTAAATAATCAATTAATCGGCTTCCGATCAGTTGGCCCTGTTCACAGCTCCACACGCTGTGCGCCGCACCTCCTCCCTACCTCACGCTCGCCGCTGCCAGACCCGCTCGCATCCACGCTCCACACGCCGCACCTCCTCCCCGCCTCACATTTCCTGCCCATCCACATCCACGATCGGCACAGGGACGCGGGGAGATGTAGTAAGGAGGAGCAGGTGTGGGGGGATGACAGCTGCTGATAGACAGGTCCGATCTCAGAAGCACGTTGCTGGAAGACTGCACTTTCCCACACATAATGCTGTATAATGTATTGCTGGGATTTGTATTCCTCTATAGCTGATGGTACATTGTGCTGTATATTATACAGAGGAATACAAATCCCAGCAATACATTATACACTGTATGTATAATGTACTATTGCTGGGATTTGTTGTACTCCTCTATAGCTGGTTACATTCTGCATTGCGCTGTATAGAGGACTACAAGTCCCAGCAATAATACATTATACAACGCAATGCAGAATACCACCAGCTGTAGAAGAGTACAACAAATCCCAGCCATAATACATTATAAAGTGATACAATGCTAAATACCACCAGCTATAGAGGACTACAAAACCCAGCAATAGTACGTTATACAGCACAATGCAGAATGCCGCCAACTATTATGTTGTATGCCTCTATAGCTGGCGGTATTCTGCATTGCGCTGTATAATGTGCTTTTGCTGGGTTTTGGAGTCCTCTATAGCCGGTGCCATTCTGCATTCATTGCTGTATAATTTTACACTTTCCATTTCACTATATTGCACACCACACTATCTTTTTTTCTTTTTTACTTCCACCGATCCAAGCTTGCTCCTGTGATGGACTACAACCTCAATACAAACTAGTAGTCCTATCACTGGAGCCATTTTTTAAACTTTATTTTATAGATTAACCGATTAATCGAACTTAATAATCGGCTAACTAATCGATTTTGAAAATAATCGTTAGCTGCAGCTCTACTAAATACAGAGTTGAAATTCATGCTCTTGCTATTTACCTGCCACAGGATTTGCAGTTCTGTTCACCTGGTTCAGCTTTGCAACCTCCTATACCACCTAGTTACTGAAGAATACATCAGCATCATCACCCTTATCTAATGAGCAGAAAATTAGCCCAGGACTCACTAAATCTGATCCAGGAAGTTGTGAGCTAGAGGACGCTATTTCTGGCTTTGTAATGCGGTAGAGCTGTGTAAATCACAAGATTGGCTGGAATTAATTACAAAATCTCCATCAAAAAATTCCATAAATGCATGTCATAAGCTGTTTTCTGTAGTTCCATGTTATCTATACCCCAAACTTGGTTTGCATCAGCAGAGGGCATCGGAGGGGACACAGAAAGCTGGAGCCGGCGCCCAGCAGGGAGGAGAGACTGGCTGTCAGCTGCTATGAATGCATTTCCTCCTGCCGCCCCTCTTTGGATCAACTGCCTGCCGGTCTCCCATCCAGAGACTGGCAGCAATAGCCAGCCTGCTATTGGCCATTTTAAATTGCAGTAGCCAACAGCAGGCTGGCTATTGCACCAGCCCACTGCATGCTGTTTGTCAGCAAAAGAGCGGACCTGAAGGAGAACTTTCTCCTTTCGTTCATGCAGTGGGCGGGTGCAATAACCAGCCTGCTATTGTTTATTGCAATTTGAAATAGCCAATAGCAGGCTGGCTATTCCTCCCAGCCACTGCCTGCTGTGTTTACATTCAGCTGCCTCAGCAGGCAGCTGTCATTCCCCAGCTAAAAGTGAAAAGGTGACACAAGGGGTATAATAGACCCCTAATGTCACCTTAAAGAGAAACTGTCACCTCCAATGTGCTATCACATATGTGATAGCAATGAAGTTAATAAAAATAAACAAATGTAAAAAATAAAGTTCAATAAAATTTAATTGAAAAATAAATTAAAAATACCAAAAGACCCCTGCCACCATACTAGCGGAAAGTCAGGTGCACCTCCATACATAAATGCTTTGCGCTACACATGTCGGGTATTGCTCCGTGCGCCAATTAAAACTGTAATTGAAAATTACAACTGAAAATAACGTTTTATTAGTTTTATTTTAAAAAAACCTGGCTCTTAAATTTTTTAGCTTGCTCCTAGATTCAAGCTAATTTGTCAAGCTCTGACATATAGTAACATAAACTTGCCCTAAACTACTGTCAAGAATGTTGAAAAAATAAAACACCAGAACAACAGCAATTACAATAAGCAAAGTTCAGGAATCCACATCAACCAAACAGAATTATGGTTTACTAAGCCTTGCCTGGTATTATTCTTGCGCACTGACTAAATCTGGCCACACAGGTACAAATGGCTGGTTTACCCAAAACCTGGATGGTTCTGCCGAAACCCCCTCCGCTTGACTTTTTCTTTTGTCGAAGGAGCCGGGTGCTGTCACTGTTCAGGGTATTCCAGAAGCAGCACACCTGCTTCTGTCAGAATACAAAAGGCTGATGGTGGCGATTCCTACATCCACATAGTTTTGTGTGGTTGGGGCAATCGAGCATTTTTTTCTTGCTTAGCTCTGTGGACTGAACAAGAAAAAACATTGAATGTATGGCCAGCTTAAAGGAAAACTTAAAGCTTGGACTTAGACCAGTCCCTGGAGCCCCTCTCCTTCCCTGCTGCAACGTTCTAAGGATCCGTGAGTTATCACATTCTATATAGTGTATAAGACGTGAGGACTTCGAGGGACATTCCTTCGCTGCACTGGAGGAGGAGACAGGCTTCAGGGACCAGAGCAGCAGTCAGCTGGCTCAGAAATTCGGGTGGTAACTTTTTTTTTTTTAAGCACCTAGATAAAAATGAGCACTCAACCCTTGCAGTGTGGGGGTAGCCCTACTGCAAAATTTAAAAACAGTTTTGCCCAGAGTTCTGCTTCAAGTCTGATAGTAAATATATAAAAATAAAGACCGACAATAAATATATAAAAATAACCAGAGAATCGGAAATAAAGTAAGCAAATCTTATTTTCTGGCAGTAGAAGGCGAAGATACTTATTCCAGATTAGCATCGCACAAATGTATTAATTCTTTTAGAGATATTTTAAATAAATATTTGAGCTTCAAATAAATATTCTGCAAACTCACACCACTTAATAATCTTGTCGTTAGTCAAAAGATAATAATAGAAGCAGACGGGTATTTAAATCATAAATAAACATTTTGGAGCTTATTTTACCTTCGGGTGGTGGGGGAGGGAACTCCTCAAAATCAGAATTTTCCAGACTTCCCATCCTTCTGGGCCTTTCAGTATTTCAGCATGAAATGCCATCCTATCATTAAATAAATGCAGTGGTTAGGTCAGGTCATGCCATTTATTAAAGAGTACGCATACAATGCTAGGTAATGGTATCGATTTAAAGGCGAACTATGGGGTTAGGGCTTTTCCCCATAGTTCTCCGAAGGGTAACGGGAGGACACAAACTAGCGTCCTCCCGTCACCCTAGGCTCAGTATACCACGAGCTGAAGCTCGCGGTATAGTGATACGCCGCAGCTGAAACGGATACCGACAATTATGTTTGTTAGAGGCAGAGCAAGCTGTACCCGCCCCCTCCCGCGTCCGTTCCGCCAGTCAGCGCTGGAGGATCTGACAGGGGAGGGGAGAATCCAGTCACTCCCCTGTCCCGGCTCTCTGCCGTGACAGGATCGAGAAGTGAGCAGGCGCCGGTATGTGTTCGCTCACTTCCCGATCTACTGAGCCGACCTGTGACAGTTTCATTGTCACAGGTCGGCTCAGATTATGAGGCTGAGTGAAAAGCACTCACCTCATAATTCTCCTTTAAGAGTAAACATACCATGCTAGAAAATTTTATTTATCAAGACTTTACTTACAATGCTAGATTAATTTAAACTATTTTTACTTGTGTATCTAAAATTGCCATATAATATAATCCACTGTAGTAAAATATATATATACACACACACTGTGTGTGTGTCTGTGTATGTATATGTATATATCAACCTCAAATACTATGTAACTATGTAACACACAGACATGCATACATACATACATGTTATAGGGTATAGTTTTACCCTTGAATCACTAAAGGATTCTCTCCAGTAAAACAGGGGTGTGGTCAAGTTCATTCAGAATTTAGGAGCCAGTCTGTCCAATCAAGGAGCCAGCAGGATTTTTTTTTTATTAGGAGTCATTGACATCAACTAGAGAAAACCTCAAAAGTTAGGCGCCAGCTGTAATGAGTATTGGCTACTTGGCTTCCGGGTTTTCTCCAGCCCTACTGTAAAAACTGTCAAAATAATGTCCACAAGAGTCGGTTATTTTTCTTCAAAAAGAAATAGATGTGTTTCTAAATGTACAAAATACAAATGGCCACAAATATATAATTATAATTTTTTTTTGGTTGAACACAAAATCTACGGACTTAGGTCAGAAAATTATGATTAGTGGGTTAAATGTGTGTGGGCTAAAGCAATGTGTCAAATACAGCAAATACTGTATACAGTATATGCTCTCTGCAGCCAAGTCTCCCTCTTGAGCCCTCCTACCAGTATTTCAGGCTTCTCCCTTAGGGGTAGTGCACAAGGGCTTTAGGTTGTATAAGAGCAGTGTGAACACCAAGAGGTCAGTTTATAAACATTTCACAAAGCGAATCTCTGTGAACATTTGTTCTGTGTGAGACAAATACTAACATTCTTAATACATGTTCAGGTCGAATGTGGTGTAATATAAATTCTGGCCACTAGATGGAGCATAGGAAATACTTCTTAATACTTACTAATAACAGTGGTTTTTGCCTCTTCTTCCACAGAATGGAGAGTATTACAGAGATTTGTAGGGAAAAATGGCCCGGTGAATTGTTAATAAACGGACCCCTTTGTTTTCGCCAAGCTTTTGCAAAGCATTTGCGAAGTTTTCAGCTCCAGTTTGGGAATGTTAAACAAAGCTTAATAGGAGTGCCGACTGTCACTTTGAACAAGCTGCTAGCAGGCTTTAGTAAGCTTCACTACAACTAAAAGCTTGCTGAAGCCCGCTAGCAGCTTGTTTTAAGTGACAGACAGCACTCCCATTAAGATCTATGTTACCATTCCTGAAATGGAGCTGAATGATCCTTTAAAAGCTTCAACAAAGCTTGCAGAAAGCTCTACAAATGCTCTATAAGTGCTTGCAATTTACACTGCTATTATCAAAACTAAAGCCTGTGTGAACTAGGCCTAACCATCACATACCTGCTACGTTCCTCACACCTTGTGCCAGAACTTAATACAGAGCACCATGAACATACACTGAAGGATCAGGAATGCAGAAAGCTAGCACTCTAGCCGATTAGTCAGAGACCAGAAGAGGCAGGATGTACAGTGATAAAGACTTCTGGTAAACCAAAGCGTATGGGTTTGGTCCCTGTGCCAAAATCATGATCCGGCATTCTTCCCCTCCTGCTATTTGACTGTACGCCTGTACTGCAGAACACAAAAGTTACTAAGATTTCTGGAATTTTAGTGACTCAGTAATACATAGAGGCCATGTGAGTGTCAGCTGAAATGTATCTAGCCTACTGTTGCCATATCATATTCAGAAATGGTGCATCAGGCACTGGATAAAATCCAGCCCAGCCCATCTCAGTCTTCCTGACCATAAATCCACAATCCTCCGTCTGTAGATCAGTGACTGTACAGCAGCCGGATGAAGTTTAAACCTCCTTCTTCAAAATGTCAGTGGATGGGGGAGCGAGCACAGCCTGCTGTCCTCCTCCAGAGTCCTGAGTCAGTTCTACAGTCCCTCTAAGTCAGAAAGAGACAATGCTGTATGTACCATTAGCCCGTCTCCACTTCTTCCTAAAAACTAGCTCATGACAGGAGTGAGAAGGGTTAGACTTATACTTTGTTTGCCAGTGTTCAATCTCCTGTAAGAAGCATAACCCAGCTGTCCAGCATTTTTACCTGTCCTCGGTCCCTTAACACCTCCCCGACCAGTTCACACATATATGTGGCAGCAAGCCGGTGGAAATTAACAGGCATATATGTATCCACTGTTCCGTTTTCCCAAGCACAATGACCAAGCTGTCATTAACAGCTCCAGGTCACGGTTTATGATTGGCTGTCACAGTGATCACATGATCAGGAACCTGTCCCCTGCTCCTGTTGTTAAGTAGCTTTTAAAGGGTTGTCAGCAAGGGGTAAGTATGAACGTTTCTTCAAACTTAACAGATCGCCAGATAAATAAAACATTTGTTTAGCTTGACCGATTTGCTGCAGCGACGCATAGGGTTTCTCAGCTGCCATTGGGATGTGCGGGATCCCTTGTGTGTTTCTGTGCTTTTAAGGAGGTTGGGCGTCCTCCTGACAAACCTGCACCCAATTTGAAATCTTCTGCCCCCATGTGCTCCAAGATGGAGACTCTCATAGTTTAGAGTTAGGACCGCACTATAAGAGGTGCCTTGGCGCGGCAGTGCGGCTTTCACATCCTCTGCAGAAGACGTGTATCCAAACCTCTGTTATTATCCTTAGTGGTGAGACAAGTTGTTTTACATGCTGGTTTGTGAGTGTGCCATGATGCCTTTCTACTATTTTACTGTTCAAAACCCATTTCGTGTGCACCTTACTGTATAACTGGTGACAAATTGTTGAGTGCGTTTGTCGTTTGTTTTGCTAGATAAATAAAACAAACATGTGTGCCCGGTGGCAGGCATCTGTCTTTAACTGGAGGTAATCCCCCCATGCCCAATTACATGTGAACATTGCTTTGTAGGGCTGCAACCAACTAATCGATTAATCGATAATAATTGATCATGAGAACAGTTGTCAACTGTTCTCATTATCGATTAGTTGGTTGGATCCCCTAGCTCTCTCCTCGATGCTAGGAGGAGGGCACAGCAAGCAGCGGGCGGGTGCAATAGCCAGCCTGCTATTGGCTATTGCAATTGGAAATGGCCAATATCAGGCTCGCTGTTGCACCAGCCCACTACCTGCTGTATTTACATTTAGCTGCCGTCTGCAGAATCTTGCCACTGCCAGCTGTCATTCCCAGCCAGCTGTCATTCACAGTGTGATTGCCCGCACTGGAACGCACGGTTGCAAAAAATTGCGCACGCAGTTTTATTATGAAGTAAACTTTATGTTTGTGTGTATTTTATTTTAAATTAAGGATGGTATTTAATTTTTTTATCCGATTAATCGGAAAAAAAAATCATCCAAATAATCGATTTAAATCATCTCTAGTTGAAGCCCTATTGCTTTGTACATGCTGAGTGACCTCAGATGTCCGGAACCACTTGCAATTCCTGCCACAAGAATGCCTTACTGTAGAGCCACGTGTGAATGATGCCTACTGTTTACATTATGCTCTGGGTCCCTGAGAGATTCTCCTCATATTTAATCTTGGTTACAGGAAGTAAAATCTCCCAAACAGGGAAACAGACCAGATTTTCTTGCTTTCTCACTCTATGGAAGTTTAAAAGGGCTTTGACTTGAGTTCTACATTAAATGTTCCAAAAAAGAACAATGACCAAAGAGTCTTTGCTATACTTCACCAGGCAAGACACATAATTTAACAATACTTAGAAGGCATCGATGACAGATCTCCTCAAGCGCGAGCTATTTAAAAAGGATTAGCAATATTTATGTTGCAAACATAAACTACGGTACACTTTAAAGGCAAACAAATGTTAACTACAATATAAAAAGCATGTTCTTACCCTTGTACCGTGCGTCCTATAACCATTTTATATACAGTGTGTGGCATCAGTCTTAATTGTAAGGAATGCTCAAGAGGTAACATCAAGGAAAATATGAAGGTACACTGTTTTATTGAACCTAAACACATGTTAATGCTTGTTTTACTCTTGTCTACATAAAGCCTGAAAGTGCATATTTATGATGCACTGAGAAAACAGATGTTGCATAAAATTACACACACACACAACAACAACAACCCCACAGAGAAAACAGACGACTTGGTGTAGGGAATCTGCTAAACAGATGGTTGAGGGATGTGACTTTTCCCACATAGGAGTGAAGTCAGATTCTACGTATCACGGAAAAATGCATTCAAACACATTGTAGTGTATTGTATGCATATCATAGTTTCATGGATAGGGCAGCAGTTGGGTTTTCTATACCACATATAAAAGGGTATCTATGCATTTCTATAGGTTCTGTCCCACTCCTAATAACCATATCCATCCAGAAGTTTGTAAATTTACTTATTAAACCTGCCCATGGGATGTACTTCCTCAATGCACTGACACAATTTCACTCAGACCTGTGAGTTTGCACAGAGCCTGTCTTCTGAACTGCAACTCAACGTCTGAACAA